GGCGTTTCAGCAGGTGAGAGTCTGATACCGAGAAGGTTTTTAGGTGAACTATCACTTTAGGACACGGTTCTTCCACACAGGTAACAGCACTGATGTTATAAGGGTTTAGCTTCATCACAGGGCACACATTCACTAACAGACTTCTCTGCTACAGAGTCAAACTGAAGCTTTCTCACCTGCTGCTCATCAAAGTCCTTGATACCCACGCAGTAAACTCGAGCACCATATTTCCGTGCCTCATCAGCCTGCAGATCAAACAGGTGCAGATGATGCGCAACACGTCGAATGTAAAGAAAAGAAAAAACATCATGGTGACACAGAAAACACAGAGGCTCTAAAGGCACCAAATCACATTCAAGAAAAAAGCCAAACAGTTCAGTATGTAAGCAATTAATTACTAATTAATTAATGGGGGGGGGGGCAGAGTTGAGGAAGAAAGGAAAGTCACTGTTTGATGACGTAACTCTCACCTCTTTCACTGTGAGCTCATGGATAAAAACCTCAAGTTTCCCGTCTGTCAAAGCCAGGATGATGCTCGAGGACTTCGTGCCCTGTTGCTGTATCTGATCTGAGGCCTTCAAGTTCAAACCAGTGAAAACATTTCATCAGATCCCACTTTCACAAAAACTGGATTATTTGTAAAAAGCTACTGGGTTGTAACTGAGAGGGTAAACTGACCTTTTTTATTCCCTCGTGCATGTATGTGTCACCTGCCGGTTTCACATCCCGCAAGGTCCTCAGACCCTCTTCTATCTTGTATCTTTAAAAAAAATAAAGTGAATGACTGACATTTCGGTCGACATGTGTATGCTACTCTATTCACAACGTGGGTTCACATTCCAGTATAAACACTGAAAAAAGCAGCCTGTTGACTCGGGCTGTGAATCTGTCGATATCACGATACAGAAGTTACAATTCGATACACTGTGTTATACTGTGACACTGTAAACAAGGTAATATAGTGTGATTTTTTTTTAATAAATTTTTTTATTCATAAAACAAGCAACACATAAAAACTCCAGTAAAAAAACAGCGTTATGTGATAACAGGAATCTGCATCTGTCACAGACCCTGTAACATCCAACAACACAGCACGACGTGGCATGTGAACTAATACTTATACATCAATCCTTTGTCTTTGAGAATCGATACAGTATCGAAAAACATTATATCACAATACTCAGTTGTATCGATATTTTCTTACACCCCGACTGTTAACAGGTCTCTGATAATATTTTGTACCATTACTCTGCTGTAGGTACATGATGTGGTGGAAACCCATGGTTGTTTGTGCTGATAGGTTCCAACAGGAGATATCAACAAGTTGTTCTTGTATAAAAAAATCAATCATCATACAAATCAATACAAGGAGTCCAAATTCTTTTACGACCAAATTAAGTGATAAAACTGGGCAACATTGAAAACAGGCTATACTACCATCAAACATTCTTAAAAATCAGTTGAGAAGCCGTTAATGTTTGTGGCTAACAAAAATAAATACCTTCATTACAGCAACAAAAAAGTCACGTAAAAGTCCAGTCCTGCCATAAAACAGTATTTATCAGTGATGTAAACATCATCTATGCTGACCAGATACTGAGACATGAGGGGGAAGATGATAACAGAATGAAATGACAGTAACCTAACTTCAGTTCAGTACCTGTCTCCAGTCAGAGGCAGCAGGATGTGTGCTTGGGCAGAGAAAACAATGAAGGAGACTCTCATCCTCGGGCTAAAGTGAAAAACAAAGGGTAAACATTAGGACTAACAAATGCTAAATTCATTCCAAATATAGTGTTTCACACCGCATTAGAGACTCCAGAGAAAGACAGCAGCTCTCAGCAAAGACAATACACAGCAACAGACTTAAGAGTCATTTAAGTCATCTATAAAATCACCCTATCAAACAACCACCCACACAGCAGGACATGTAAAACACTTTGAATAGGATATAAAGGAGTCGGTGTGATTGACAGGTTTATATAAAGCTTTTACACCAGTTCAGTTCAGCCACGAGACTTAAAGAGGGACAGATAATTAACCAAACAGAAGGAGCTCTTTAAATGTCAGCTAATATTAGTGTATGACTTAAAGCAGCTGAAGAGCTGAAGGAAGTGATTAAACCATTTGGAGACAGGAAACATGTGATGTGACGGTGAGTCACACAAACATATACTTTGTACCTGTGACTTTAAGGGTGTGAGCTGACACCGGACAATCTGATGAGTCTCTGACCAGTCTGGCATCAGAGGCTCGTCTCTGTGCAACCAGCCGCGGTTGCATTCACTATCCACTTCTCATCTCATAAATATGGACTATTTTATTTTTGCAAACACAGCAGGTTTCAGAGTAAATATCCCGCTGAACATGTCAGCACTCTCGTGTACAAATGCACCTGAAAACTTCACCACCGTGTGTTGAGAACAAGTCCACACCAACCAAGCATCACAAAGAAAAACATCCCAGTCCTGTGATTTCACTGAGTAAAGCATGAAAACATTTTTTAAAATGATAGTCAAAGCAATAACAGTAACTGTCAGGAAGTTATGCAAATTAAAATGCTCCACTATTGTTTTTGACCACTGGGTGTAATACTGGATAAAAGGTCGACAATACCTGAATTCTGGTCAACATGAATATTATAACAACCATATTTTAATCAATATAAATATTCATTTTACTAAATGATTTTTCATTTAGTGATACATCTCGACCTGTCCAGGCTGTACCCCACATCTCGCTCAATGTCAGCTGGGATTGGCCGTCCCTGGGCGAGGCAACCCCCCGATAACAGGTGGATGGATGAACTTCTCAAATACAAATACCTATACTGCTGCTGTGGAAGAATAAGTTAACTAACTGATAAATTTGAACTAGTGCTACAGACAACTTCTGGTCAGTGCTGAAAGAGTGCTAAAGTTTCTAACCCAGGCCTACGAGGGTCGGTGCTCCTCCACAGATCAATTCAAAGCTCTAAAATCTCTTTAGATAACACCTAAAAATCTCTGTGCCATGGAGCTGAAACAACACTGTCCTTCAAGGGTCCTAAAAAGCAGGTCATTTGGAGATGAAGGATTGTTACCCCTTCAAGAGCATGTTTATATTCTTATCCTCGATGTAATAATTATTGATCGGTGCTGATAGTGACCTTATTAATATGGGAACGGAAGTGACCGATCCATATTAAACTCTCCTGGTCATTACCACTGAGGGTAACAATGCAACTGGACAGAAGGTTAGTGCAGGCTTTAAACAAATGTTGCCAGCCTCCTCTTAGTCCATCGTACCAGCTGAGAAGTGATGTGTTGTTACAGCTTCGTGTTGCTATACATATAGAAGGTGGGCGACAATCAGCTCCACACAGTGACAAACACAGATGTTAAGCTGAAACGAGCACCGTTATCAGAACAGGTATAAGGAGAGAAAATGTGAGATCATGCAACTCTATTTCAAAATTGCTATAACTAACCAGTAAGCCAAGCTATTAGATACTGTAAATGTAGTGGAGTAAATAGTATAAAGGAGGAAAAGTTAAAGGTGTGTACAAACAGAAGTACTCAAGTACTCAAAAAGCAACACGTTAGTTAGTATGAGGACTGAGTTACTTCCCACCTCTGTTACAAACACACAGCACACGGACGGCATCCCGCAGTGCGAGTTAAACTTCAGATAATTAAGCACACAAGTGTTTCCTTCAGAGATCTGCAGCCTTCGGAGCATAAGGAGAGGTGCTGATATTTCTCACCCACGTGACACATGGCCCAGTCGTGATCCTCCCCCGCAAACATAGCACAATCTTTAAGCCAGATTTGGCAGAGTGCTGTAGCAGCCGTATACATCCACATCCTGTCTGCAACTTTCAGAGTCATATGTGGACTAAAAACTAACCACGGATGAGAAATCGTGGGTGGGGACTTAACGAACTTTAGGCTTTAAGTAGAGCTTAGGATTGTCTCGGTTGCCTCTGCAGCAGTGTCGTCTGTTTCTAAGAAAGACTCAGGATAAAGAGGCAGCAATGCCAAGGACAAATCTGAGGGTGGTGTGGAGAGTATTTTCTTTGAGACGGGTGGAGGATTTTGGGAGGGGGGGATTGATGAAGTAGTCCAGTTTGCTCCACATGGCGGAACAGAAGTGCTCTTGGTGAGCGAGCATTGTTTAGCAGATTGTCCTCGTCGCCTTCCAGTGTTCTTTTGCTTTACTGTACATTGTCTGCCTGTCAGCCGCTCTGTGGTGGAAGCAGGGGATAAGTGTGGAGCCGGACCCCCCCGGTGCAAATGGCCATTCTCACAGCCCAGAAGACTGCTCCTCTCTGCCACCCACTCCCACCTGGTGCCTTTGCTATTTTCTTCAACCAACCACTTCATTCTGGCTGGGTCGCTACCGTCTGTACTGTGCTGGCAGGCGCCGTTTGACTCAAACGTTATGCAAGTGGAACGCTGCGAGCCGCTCACTCCGGTTCCGTCTTTTTAATGAATTAACTGTGAAAAGGATGTCATGGATTTTGCGAAATGATAGTTTGTGAAACAGGTGGGAAGTCCTTGAAATCTGCACAACAGGCTGCACCGAACGTCTTCAACTATAGACACCCTATAAAACAACCATGCAGATTTTAAATAGATGTAAAACAAAAGACTTCAGTCAAAAGGACTGGACTGTTACCCAAACTTATCACCATCTGTCCCAGTTACCTTCTGTCACTGAGGTTGTCAGTGACAGACAGTGAACATCTTCATCATCATCAACCTTTATTTATTCATGGGGAAAAACAGTTGAGAGCAAACACGTGTTCCCAATGGTGCCCTGACAGTAAACAGTAATATATTTATATACACATGAATCAAATAAAATCAGTATTAAAAGAAATCCAATATCACAATCACACATTAAAAACTAAATATACATAAAGACACACAAATCCACATAAATCATATTAAAAACACAGCATCACAAATCATCTAGTGCACAGACATTTTAACTGCAAAGTAAAATATAAAATCAGTTTAAATGAGCGTAGCCACTTTTGTTTTTTTCTGCAACCTATTCTGTTTTTGCGGGACATAGTAATACGAAGACATCTTTCCTACTTCTGTATTGGCAAAAAGGGTTGCAGAACAAGATAATCTTGTGAATGGGCCTAGTACATTGTTAATTTATAATTCAAGAAACATGTAATATATATAAGCAACTTATTAAGTAGAGCTTTATAGATGAATAACATACAATGATGCTCTGTGTTCGGCGTCAAAGATGGCCAACCTACTTTCTGATATAATGAATGAATATAAAGAAACAAAAGTCAATCGTTAAGCAAAGCAGTTCACTTCTCAAAAGCAACTTAAAGGTAATCAAAATCCAAAATATTTATATGCAGGGACTTTGCCAATGACAGCACTTTTCAGTGTAGCTGTACTTAAACTTAAATTATCAATTTGACATTGTTTTCTAGTATAAATCATATACTTTGTTTTACAGGAATTTAATGTAAGTTTAAGAAGATAATGCTGAAAGTGTTAAAATCAGACTGCAAACTCTGAAAAGCCTGATCAGTGGAGGGGGCTACTGTATAAATAATTGTGTCATCTGCATATAAATGCATAGTACTACTAGTTACGTTTGATCGTACATAGTGAATAAGATGGGGCCTAAAATGGATCCTTGCAGGACTCCTCAAAAAAATACCCATAATATTAGATTTAAAACAATCTACTACAACAGCCTGTGATCTATCAGATAATTAATTTCTAAACCAGTTACAAGACTTCTCATCAAATCCAGTTTGGCCAAGTTTTTGCAAGAGAATGTCTTGATCCACAGAATCAAAAACTCTGAATAACCCACACCCACTATGGCATTTTGAAATAATGCAATCTGAATGCGGTTATACTAGCAAAATAATCATATGTAATATCCTTGTAGATACTGTCATGGTCCCATGAGAGATTTTGATCATGATATCGCAACATTACAACTATGCCTACATCTCTACTATTAATTTTAAACCACTGCTAGCAACATCTGCAGGTCTAAGATTTGAGAGGATGATTTTCACTTCATTTGTTCTTATTTCTGAATGTGCATTATAAAACCTTTCCTTTTTATAACTTTCATTACAAACCACACAAACCTTTTTTTAATTGCCAAAGAGAATACATGAGTTTTACATTGGTGACTTCCCACTTACCTCACAAATCTGTCAGTAAGGTTCTTTACGAATGAGTAAATCTCAAACCAGTCGGCACCAACGCTTCCAGACCTGAAAGGAGAAAACAACAGTCGGCTCACAGCTCATCAGAGGCAGCAGATTGTGTGCTGGGGAGTAAAATACTGTACAGTATTTGTGCTTTGTACCACAGCCACAGTTGGACATTTACACCAGCCACATGCTGAATAACTGTGCTGATAAGTCTGTGTACTCTAGCAGCTACTTCGGCTGTGAGAACCCTCAGCTGTTCACAGGAGCTTTGTCTTTCTACACATTAACTGGCTGGTGCAGTTGGAATTTATTTCCCGAAATAAAGGTGGAAAAAAAAAATCATGAAAGTAACACGACAGTGACAGTTCAGGAAGTTGGCAGAGGTGGAGATAACTAAACACTTCTACTACTTCTACTACTTCTAGTGCTAGTTTTGAAGTAGTCAATTGAAGTTCATATGTACAAGCTCTCAGAGGGCTTATAGGCCAATATGAGTAATTGTTCCCAACCCAGCCAGTCTACTGCAGAAGACAGGGGAAAAACTCCTCACATAAAAAGTTAAGTTCAGAAATGGCCAGGTGTAAGACGAAACACAAGTACAATACAAACACAACAGTTATGTCCATTACTACTGCACTAAAGCCAGTACAGGACTTGTAAGGAACATGGGATTGTTAGATTTTTCCTTAGCTTTATTTAAAAAAAACTCCTTTTATTCATTCATGCGTTTCTTGGTTTCATTCCTGCCTGGTTTCTTTCCTTTGTCCATCTTTACTTATTTTTCTTCTTTCAATCCTTCTTTTCTTCACAGGATTCACCTAACTGGAAATGTTGCTTTGGCATATTTCTATCTGTATTTGAGCAGAAGTAGTTAGTCCTTCTTCCGTCGCCATCTTTTGTCTCGTTAAAACTAATTATGACTTGGTATTTGTCAAAAATTATGCATAAATGTCTCAGTGTAACCAAAGACAATCCGGTGTCAGGTGGGTGTCAACCTGTAGCCCTTTGTAAATGTGCCCATGATGTAACAACAGAGGTAATTAAACCAATAATTACAATTCAATGTATGTGCGAAGAACCTAAAACAGAAGAGTTGGACCATTAGGAGGACCATCTCCCATGCCACCTCTCTTTCCTTGCCAACACCCAAAGACAGGGTCACACAGCGGAGGGAAGAGATGTCTGTCAGAGTAAAGGAAAGTTCTGCTGCACTGACAACACTGGAAGGCCATGTGGGGTTGGGGCCATTTAAAGGGGTCATCTATTATTCTGACTACATGGCGTTGGAGCAGCTGATCAGCAGAGATGTTTTCTGGCTTTTGTAATTATCTGTATTCTGCATTTCCATAACAATCAACCCCTCTAAAATCTCACTGTTGTACAGTGGCGGCCACTGGGGGTAAATTATGTGAAGGAAATTCTAAATTCTATTTATAACATGTTATTTATGTACGTCAACTCCACCATCAACTAACTAGCTTCCTTGGCTAGCGTAATGTAGCTAATTCAGTACAGGTTTGCTACTTTCTGCTATCTCTGTTGTTACCATCCACAAGAATCACTCCCCAACAAAGTTATAGCCTACTACATGTATTCTCTGTGGATACTGACCACTGTGCTGAGTTGACAGTACAGAGAAGCATCCAGTCAGCTGTTTGATTAGCTCAGCTGTTTGAAATCAAGTCACCTCTCCATTATTTCTCAGCCCATTTACTGTAACTCACCATTGTTTTTACATTCATTCTGATACGTCACCTTTTTACATTCATTCAGTTTAGGCGCGCCACAAAAGCACTTAGGTGAGTTGCTGCGCCTAATCCTTTCTATGGTAGGGAAAAACCTGTAGCAACTAGAGAGGGGCAATCAATCAATGTAAGTTACATACAGTAAAAAACATAGGTTTTGTGTTGTTTATCATAATTTCGACATATTCATATTTAAATGTTGCCTTTTCCAAGACTTGAAGGCTATGTTGTTACTCGAACAGCCTCATCCCCCCTTGACATCATACTTCCATGTAAAGAGCTACAATACCTGAGTAATTATAAAACCAAACAGAAAAACGTGCATAAGCTGGTCACACTTTGAATCAGAATAACAAAAATGACATTTCTCTCTACAGAAGCATTGCAGAATATGCATCAAATCTTACAGCACAAACTGCCGACATCATGACTCTAGTCTTGTAACAACTATCAGGAAGCTCAACAGCAGAACTACTGGGTCTGCAGTAAACTTGTGGCAGAGTCATGCAACTTGTTGACATGCTGATCATGACCATAGATTAGGCTTTTACATCTCACAGATATACTGTACACTTGCATATGTAAACCAAACAGACCACGAACTTATACAAAAACATCAACCATGCTAAGACCTATGCACTTGGTCAGACTTGCTCCAAACAATCTTGGTCATCTTCCTGTAATTTTGTAATTTAGATGGGGGTGAGGTAGATTGAAAATAGGTCAGGGGAGCAGTGGTGCAACTCAGCGGCCCTGAATGCTGGCACGTTTCCAAGCCGTGGGAAGGCAGGATTAAAAGCAGTTGCTGTGACGGCAGTAAACTCTCCAGAATATATTGGAGGTCTGTGTGCACCACTGCTGCAGCTCTGTAAAGCTCTGCTGAACTGACTGAACCCGGCTATGAAGCATCTGCATGTGTGATGTCTGAAGCAACAGAGCGAGTGTGTAAAAGCCACAGGAAGTGGCACACTGCCAAAAAGTGATGCAGTGCTTTCTTGCTGGTTAACATTGTTAATAAACACCATTGTGAAACTTCTCAGTAATGTCGCTTTTGTTTTTGGTGAAATCTTATATTATTAAGATATTAAGATACTGACAATGGTAAAATCACTGCCAGCTGATCACACAGGACAGAGAGAATTATATTACAGATGTTTTAAATCCTCAAACTGTCCAATCAGATAAAACTACTTGGTTATGGTTAGAGAAAGGTCATGGTTCTCCTTGTGCAGATCTATGAGGTTTCTTTGAGTTCTCTCTTCCTGCCATGTACCATAACCACTGCATGACACAACCACCCAACACACAGGTGCAATCATCAGCCAGATCTGAGCAGCCACAAGCCAAACTAGAGCAGCCCGACCACTTTGGGAAAGTTTCGGGGTGAGGAACAAACACCTTTGGCCACCAGTTTACTATCAAAGGTGCACTTAGACATTACACAGATGTAGACTATTGAGCATCTCATTATCTTATCATGGTCATCACTGGCTAGTGCTCTAACAGCCTCCACTCTTTTGTGTGAACCTGGCTGCAGCCACAGGACAGCGACTGAGGTCCAGCACTGGTGTGGGCCGATAAGGCCAAACGTGTTGGATGGGGCTGAGGTCAGGCTCTGTGCAGACTACTAAACCCCCCCACCAAACTGGGAAAACCATTTCTGGACCTGGCTTTGTGAGTGGTGCCACTGCCGGGGCGAAACAGGAAGCGCTCTCTCCCACACAGGCTAAAAGCATTGTGAACATCACTGGACAGAGGTTTGACCAAATTCAATCAAAATACTATGGAGTCACCAATGTACACTCATTGGCCACTTTATTAGGTACACCTGTACAGTTGTGTGCATTTCCTCCCTAACGTCTGTGTCTATGAAGCTCATAACTTATAAATCCATATTATATCCATGTTATATGATTATTATTGAGGTCGTAGTTAAAGGTGGTGTTGTACTGGACTGCATTATATTCAGAGGTGTCTATATTTTTGTCCTCCCCAGATACATGCAGTACATGAGAGGGTCAGAATATTAGGAACACCCCCACATATCAAATCTCTTCTCCTCCACAGGCAAACTACACTTTATAAACTAAATATTTACAGCTTGTTTTCGTCTTCTCCCGAGTGCAGCTTCATTATGCTTCATCCTGAGAGCACAGGAGTCTGAAACAAACAGTTTTTGTTTTACTTACTTGTCTAGAACAAAGTACAGGTCGTAGGCTCCGTGACAGGACGGTTCCTCCGCCCAGCAGGACGAAGCAAACAAACCGAGGAGGACCACAGCGACCGCCGCTAAAGTCCACCGACTCCTCGCTGGAAAAACTTCCTCCACCGCGACAGAAGAACGAAACAAGTTCTTCAACATTTTTGCTACAAAAATTCGGTTGCGTGGCAGAAAATAACAACAACAAAAAACTTTTCACAGAGTTTCACAGAGCGCGGAGACACTTGAACAGGACGTGCACATCCCACAGTGTGACGAGCTACATGTCAAAGTTCCTCCAAAACAACCACGTTTACTGATTTGACCTGGGAAATAGAGGAAACCACCGCCGAGCGTCATCAGCTGTGCAGTTTCTTCATCCTCCTGACTCACTGTCCAATCACTCCCTTCCTTTCAAAGCCAAACCCGGCTCCTAAACTCGTCCAAACCGTTCAGATGGTACGATAAATCACCGCCAAGCCAAACTCACCGTACTGAGAAAAGTTAGGCTGCCTTCAGGTGCTCCGAGAAGTGTGGGACTTCTTAGTTTCACGGCCTGTGTAGTGATCAAACATGAATCATAAGATGCTTTGATTTATACATCCAGCAGCAAAAGGCCTGGTGCTACATTTAATAACCGAATGAATGGCAGAAGTATTTGTTAAAGATGCAACTGATATTTTATACGCTAAGTAGTGCCAAGGAGATCGAAATTTTAATTACTTATTGTGAAAACCGGCTTCTGAGAGTGTGTGATATTAGTAATACACTGATAAGTGTATTATAAGCAGTATTTTAATATCAGCATTAATCTAGTTCGACTATGTCTGACTATTGTATTTCCTTTTTTCTAGAATCTTTACTATAGCAGTGTATAAAAAATATTATTTTTACCTTTAAGGAAAATCTGGCATAATAATAATAATATAATATTTTACTGTGAAATGAAGTCGAAACATGAAGTTGCATTAAACCGAAACAAAGTACAAGCACCTGAAATGTGTACTTGTACAGGAGAAATTATTTACCCCTAATTTGAAGTAGTGGATCCATTGCAGTTCACTGCTAGACCCTCTGCAGTTTGCCTACCAGTTTGCCTACCGGGCAAACAGGTCAGTGGACGATGCAGTGAACATGGCACAGCATTACATCCTGCAACACCTCGACTCCCCAGGGACATATGCATGGGTCCTCTTTGTGGACTTAACACCATCATCCCGGACATCCTCCACTCCAAACTGACCCAGCTTACTGTGCCAGAGGATGTACTTCCTGCGCCAGCTCAGGAAGTTTGACCTGCCCCAGGAGCTGCTGATACAGTTCTACAGAGGAGTCATCGAGTCTGTTCTCTGCACCTCCATCACTGGTCTGGTTTGGCTCAGCAACCAAACAGGACAAGTAGAGACTTCAGCGGACAGCCAGGACTGCAGAAAAGGGCATTGGTGAGTATTTAATGTGAGATACTACCTTAGATGAAGTTGTATCTAGTAGAGTTCAGCACCATGCAGGTGTCTCTAAACCCTTCACCAAGTACAGTTTTTTCTTAGGCAGCATCAAAAACATTTATCTAAACAACCTTCTGATTCGGATCTTTCCTGACAGAACCCAAAGGCCACAGTGTCAAGCCCAGTGCGCATGCCCATGGAGGAACCAGCTGTGGAATTCCTGCAGACCTGCACCCAACAACATCTGTTTCACCCTTTTTTACGAGGCTACTTATTAATGTTACATCAACAATGTTCAGCCTTGTATTCAGAAAATCAAGGCACAAATCAGATCCAAGGTCATTTTAGGTATTTTTTTATATATTTTACAGTCTGTGTAACTGTGAGCATGAGGCACTAACAGTGGCAAGGTTGGGGGGGGGGTTTAAAGCTTTTTAGTAAAAACACTTCTGAAATCTATATTTTAAAAATACACCACAGTTATTTAACTGATAAACCATGTAACTATGTGTAATGAAGCAGTTTTCTCTGTGTTCCACTGGAATATTTTATAAACAATTTAATATTTTAAACATAATATTTGCAATATTTGGTTTAAAAAAGATGTGTCAGAGCTGTAGTTTGGACAAACTGTGTGTATAGAACTAAACTTTCAGTTCTGCACTTAGGCCCACCTGTTTTGTATCAACTACTGGCCTGCACATTACAGGACGAATAGTAGAGTCAATCAGAGACGGGACCTTAGATACTAAAACATGATTTACAGCATTTTTCAAGTTTTGATAATTGATGACATTTCGAAAGAACCACACAAACCGCACAGACATGAGAATATGCATCTTCTTCTTTTCTTATGTCACAGTTTCCTCCATATCAGTCACTATCTCTGTGACACAATTCATTTAAACCAGAGTGAACACATGACGAACAAAGCAGTAATGGAAACGTTTTTCCTGATATAGAGAGACCAGTCACTCTAAAAAGATATAGAAAGGTTTATTGGCAAAATATGGACAGGAAAAGGATGCAGATGTGAGGCCTGCCATGTGCCAGATCCAAGATGTTTCAAAAAAAATACTGCAAAAGGACACATTCTGATGTTTTCATTAAGGTATTCTTTGTACCTTTGCTTGCAGGATGTGAGGTGGTTTTGTAAGTCCCTTTTTATGGTTATTTTTACTTCAAATTTGTTTATTTGTTTATTCTTCTTCATCAGTTTTATAACTCAGATGCAAAGACTGTGACAACTCTCATAAACCTGTGCTCATACTTCTTCAATAACGCAACAAGTTACTAAGAAAATTATGAAATATCGTGGTGGGAGAAGTACTCAGATCCCTTGCTTAAGTAAAAGTACCAGTACAACACTGTAAAAATACTCTGACACAAGTAAAAGTCCTGAATTCAAATTGTTATTACATTAAAGTGCAAGTATTAGCATCAAAACATACTTAAAGTACTAAAAGTAAAAGTGCTCATTATGCAGAATGGCACATTTCACATTCCTGTATAGCATAATATTGAATTATAATTGCTGATTTTAATTTTAACCTGCTTATATGCATTTCGTTTGAATTACTGCTTGTGAATGTTCCACCAGAGACCAAAAAAGTCTCATGATTAGTCTGTAATTTCTGTAGTAATCTGGCTCTGAAAAGTAGGAACTAAAGTTTTAACATAAATGTAGTAGAGTAAAATGTAGTGAGGTCAAAGTGTGAAGTAGCACACAATGAAAATACTCAACCTCACAAATGTACTTAAGTATGATACTTGAGTAAATGTACTTAGATACTTCTTAAAGCTAACCTGCAGTTTTCTATAGCATGCAGTGACTTAAAGCACCTAATCAGCTGGATCATGATGTATATTTTCAATGCAGCTGGTCAAGCAGGGACACATATTTTAGAGCACGGGGAATTTTTTGTTTACCAGTTAAGTAAATGCATTCTTTAATTTGATGCACATTATGAAAACTGCAGGTGCCTCCAACTCCAGTATCTCACTGTGTGATTTAAATTCCCAGACCTGGCAGACTTAGCGCATCACTTTACTGATCGACACAGGGAGCTGAACTGCTGAACTTGGCAGTGCACCACAGAGCTGCATGTACAAAAATGAAGCCTTCCTTGTCTTATTGCTGCCACGCTCCACCCACTGTGCTACACAGCACCGTCTAACTGAATGCAGTACGAACATGTGGCCAAGTAGCATTCCAAAATCAAAAGCCTTCAAGGGAATACCAAGACAGATAATACAAATGCTCTCACAGATGTATTTATTGACTCTGGATGAGTAATTACACTTCGTGACTGTCTGACTACTTCACCCTCAGGACACAATAAACCCCAATGAAACCTTTCCTCATGTGATATTTTCCAGGACAGGAAATTCCAGGTTTGGTCTTATCTGATCATGTGTGCCTCTTATTTGAACAAGGTGTGTGTAGCTGGCAGAGGATGTGACTTCAGGCTATGGAATTATGTAAAATCACTAACAGGCACTGTAACAACACCACAGCTGTTGTTGGACTGATTCACCTGTGGAAATGTCCCCATAAAGGTAGAGTTAAAGGGTTTTATGTGTTTATTTGTAATTCATGTTGGCATATGTGTTGGACGGTTTTACATCTTAAGTTATGTTGACATCTAACAATTCATAGCAAATAAGACGCCGGTACAACAGCCAGCGCCACAATGAAATCCACACAAACCTAGAAGCAAAAAAAAAAACTTGGCAACCCTGTAAATTTGAAACATTCCATGTCAAAAAGATAAAATCCAAATGGAGTCACAAATCATTAGTGTTAAAGTCAAGGTCAGTCTTTTATTTTGACAGGCCTGATGTTGGCTATTGCACTAATACTAAACGCTGGGTAGTGACGTCAGTCTTTGATATAGTCAAGATTCCTTTGTCACCACATTTACTTTAATTGCCTCACAATATCATTAAACTTAAGTTATTGTTTTTATTTCTATCTTGACAGCATGGGTTAATATATTTAAAACTTCATGTAACAGTTGTATGTGTTTCACAGAAAAAAGCCTGAGTACTATTGTGGAAACATCTACACTACTGATGAACTTGTTGAATATTGAACACTGGCCATGGACCATGTTAATACAAACACAAAGCTTTACACAGCTGCCTCTACAACTGCATTTGGTTTCAATCCTGGTTGCTATAAACTCGTACTTTGCTCTTCTTTGAGGAAGCACTCTCACCTTATAAAGTGTAAGAACCAATTACTCACATCACAGCTTCCAGCAAAAAATTGATTATTCAAAACAGCTAAATCTATTTTCTTTTGTTTTTCCTCAGTGTGAGAGTGGCACTGTAACATAACTCCATATCAGCGAGGTAATTACCACTAACACACCTCATCAAATCTGAATAGTCTAGAGAACAGCAACACACGAGTATAATTATCTGGCAAATCAAAGTCTAATTAGATTTTAATTAGAATGTTAATTCTTTTGCACACCATTTGGTTTCAGTATATGCCACCTAACTTGGTGTGTCCTGATCAGGGCTCCATAAAACAAAGAGAGCAACAAAACAACAAGCATGTACTTCCCATTATTAAGGGAATGTATTAAAATCCAGTGGCTTGAGAAAATAGTTGTAGCACACCAATTTGTCATGGGGCTTTTAAGTTGGAAGGGAAATCAAAAGTCAAAGTTAAAACAACAGCACGTATCATTTGTGGAAGCAGTGACGTGGTGAAGTTAATCAAGAGATAAACCCATGACAAAAAGTGCAAGAGCAAACATTAGCCCCTGCCACACTGCCACACATTGGTGCGCCTTTATTCCATCTCATTTTCTGTGTGTAAGGTGCAAAGCTGGAATGGCGGCCATTCTCAGTCCGCCTCTGGTTCGCCTTGGGAGGTAGTACCAGAGGTGGAACAAAGGGTAGACATGCAGAAAGGGTGAGCCGGCAGTCCGGGACCAAGTGATATGTTTTGATGACGTCATATGTGCACGACACCATCACAGCATCTCATGTCTGACACCTCTCTGGCACAAACCGTGCTCAGCTTCTCTTTAACTTGCAGGTCAAAGCCGTCCTGATGTCA